AGTGGCCAAACAGGAAGGAAAATACAAAAGCTTTAAAAGTTGGCTTTGGGCAAGTGGAAGCTAATGACTCTATGAGACATAAAGGATCAATCAAACAAATGCAAAAGAATGGAAGAAAAAAATGGAAGAAAATGTAAACTAACTCATGGGAAAAACAACTGACCTGGGAAAAACATCAAGGAGAAATAATATTGGAATCATTGGACCACCTGAAAGCCATAATCAAAAGGAGGACCTGGATATCATCTTTCAAGAAATCTTCAGAGGATGCCCATCAATTGGGGAATGGCTGAGCAAGTTGTGGTATATGAATGTAATGGAATACTACTGTGCCATAAGAAATGATGAACAGACTGACTTCAGAAAAACCTGGATAGACCTATATGGGTCTGATGCTTAGTGAAGTGAGCAGAACCAAGAGGACTTTGTGCACAATAACAGCCACGTTGTGCGATGACTAATATTGATAAATTTAACCCATCTCAGCAATACAAGGATCTAAGATATCTCCAGAGGCCTCGTGATGGAAAATGCTATCCACATCAAAAGAAAGAACTATGGAAGTTGAATCGCTACCTTTTTTTTTCTTTTCTGTTGAGTTTTGTTTCCTCTTTCTAATGGTTCCTCTTATTGGTTTTAATTTTTACTACTTACAACATCACTAATGTGAAAATGTTTAATACAAATGTAAATATATAGCCTACATCAGACTGTGTACCATCTTGGGGAGGGTAGTGGGGAGGAAGGGGGAGAAAAATTTTAAACTCAAAAGCATATGGAAATGATTGTTGATAAATCAAAATAAATTAATACCATAAACTTTTTTTAAAAAAATCTATCAAGGAAAATTGCCCTAAAGTCCTGGAACCAGAGGGCAAAATAGGCATTGAAAGAATACACTGGAGAGGAGTTCGAGAATGTGACCTACGTGGAGCCCCTGGAGCCTACACTCAGCAACATCATCAAGCAGCCCAGCCTCAAGTGGAGCTTCGTCGGGGGCAAAGGTGGAGTGGGCAAGACCACCTGCAGCTGCAGCCTAGCAGTACAGCTGTCCAAGGGGAAAGAAAGTGTCCTCGTCCTCTCCATGGACCCAGCCCACAACATCTCTGATGCCTCTGACCAGAAGTTCTCCAAAGTCCCCACCAAAGTGAAGGGCTATGACAACCTCCTTGCTATGGAGACTGACCCCAGCCTGGCTGTGGCGGAGCTTCCTGGTGAGTTCTTTGAGGAAGCCAACATGTTGAGCATGGGAAAGAAAATGATGCAGGAGGCCATGAGTGCCTTCCCCTACATGGAGGAGGCCATGAGCTATGCAGAGGTCATGAGGCTAGTGAAAGGGATGACCTTCTCAGCTGTCATCTTTGACACAGCCCCCCACTGGTCACACGCTTCGGTTGTTCAACTTCCCCACCATTGTTAAAGGGGGTCTGGGTCACCGCACGCAGATCAAGAACCAAATCAGCGCCTTCATCTCACAGATGTGCAACATACTGGGCCGGGGTGACATGAATGCTGACCAGCTGGCCTCCAAGCTTGAGGAAACTCTGTCTGTCATCTGGTCAGTCAGCGAGCAGTTCAAGGATCTGGAACACACAACCTTCATTTGTGTTTGCATTCTGAATTCCTGTCCCTGTATGAGTCTGAAAGGCTCATCCAGGAGCTGGCCAAGTGCAAGACAGACATCCATAATATAACTGTCAACCAGCTGGTGTTCCCCGAGCCCGAGAAGCCCTGCAAAATGTGTGAGGCCCAGCACAAGGCACAGTCTAAATACCTCGACCAGATGGAGGACCTCTAGGAAGACTTCCACATTGTGAAGCTGCCACTGCTGCCCCATGAAGTTCGAGGGGCTGACGAGGTCAACACCTTCTCCAGCCTCCTGTTGGAGCCCTACAAACCACCCAGCGCTCAATAGCCCAGAAAGGCTGCTTGCCCACCCTTGGCCCTGGCTCCTCCTCCCTTACATTTCCTTGGAAGGCTCCTCTGCCCCTGGGGCAGTTTGCACAGATGTTCCTGATGCCCCACAGGGGAAGCTGCTGGCTTGGGGGAGGAAAGAAGGGTAGGGGCAGGGAGCTGAGCTGAATAGGGCCAGGTGGGGATGAGGTGGGGGAGAAATGCAAATTCAGTTAGGCTGTGCCCTGCAGCCTGCCTCTGTGTCAGGGGTTCCAGGATGCTAGCTGTCTCCTCATGACCCTGCTGCCTAGTACCGGGTTACTGACTCTGGGTGACCGTGTTCCCTCCCTGCCCTTTCTCCGGTTCAATAATTTCTGTCCCCCATCCCCAGTAAATATGATCTGTCATAAAAAAAAAAAAAGAATCCACTGATCACCTCAGGAAACAGATCCCAAAATAAAAACCCCAAGGAACATTATAGCCAAATTTCATAACTATCAGGTCAAGGAAGAAATACTGCAAGTGGTCAGAAAGAAACAATTCAAATATCACGGAGTCACAGTCAGGATCACACAGGACTTGGCTGCCGCAGTATTAAAAGATCAGGTCACGGAACGGAGCTAGGACTACAACCAAGAATCACGTACTCAGCAAAATTAAACATAATATATTAAAGAAAACAAATTCAATAAAATAGAAAGATTTCAAGACTTCATAAAAAGGCCAGAACTAAACCAAAAATCTGACCTCCAAGATTAAGTGCAAGGAAGCATAAACAGGTAAAAATGGAAAAGAAAACATAAGGGATTTGCTAGAGCTAAACTGTTTACATCCCTACATGTGAAGATGATAAGTCTAACTCTTAAAAATTTTATCACTAACAGTACACATGGAATACACACAGATAGACAGTATGGGTATAAGGTGAAGTTGAGGAAATGATATTAAAAAATTAAGGGATGAGAAAGAGGAGTACGATGGGTGAAGAAGGGGGGGAGAAATAGAATGGGGTACATTATCTCAAATGAGGACCGATTACAGTAGGGGAAGGTAGGAGTGGATAATGGGCACTGCTTGAACCTTACTCTCATAGATATTGGCTCAAATAGGGAATAATATATACAATCAGTTGGATATTGTAATCTATATTACCCAAAAGAGAGGCAGGAGGGGAGGTGGAGGGGGACTAACAGAAGGCAGGGAAGATGAGGGGAGGTGGTACATAGAAATAAAACATTGGTGAGGTCATAAAGAGTGAAAGGAGAGAGAGGACAAAAAGGAGGAAGAACAAAATAGAGGGACATATACAGGTAATAACCACGCATGCGAATGTGAATTGGTTAAACTCTCCCATAAAACAGAAGTAGATATCAGAGTAGATAAAAAAAACCAGAATCCTACAATATGTTGCTTACAAGAAACACACTTGAAGCAGACAGACAGACAGACAGACAGACAGACAGACACACACACACACACACACACACACACACACACAGAGTAAAGGTAAGGGGCTGGAGCAGAATCTATTATGCTTCAGCTGAAGAAGCAGGGGTAGCAATCTTGATCTTAGACAAAGTAAAAGGAAAATTAGCCTAATTAAAAGAGATAAGGAAGAAAACTATATCTTGCTAAAAGGTACCATAAAAAACGAAGCAATCAAATCTCCCCATCAGATCTATGGGGAGGGAAGAATTTATGACCAAACAAGCGACAGAGAGCACTACAAAATGTAGACTACATTTAAACTGAAATGCTTTTGTACAAACAAAACCAATGCAACCAAGATTAGAAGGAAAGCAGAATGCTGTGAAACAATCTTTACCACAAGTGTCTCTGATAAAAGCCTCATTTCTCAAATATATAGAGAACTAAATCAAATGTATGAGAACATAAGACCTTCAATAAAGTTAAACTATTTATATTCCTACATGGAAAGATGATTCTTGCAACTCATAAGAATTTTCTCATTATTAGGGCAGTTAAAAGGAATATACATAGACAGCACAGGTGTGAGTTGAATATGATAAGATGATACCAAAAAAAAAAATAAATTTAAGGGGTAAAAAAGAGGAATGCACTGGGAGAAGAGGAAAGATAAAAGTGAGGTATCTCACATAAATGAGGCATAAACAGAGCTTTTATAGTAGAGGGGAAGATAGGGGGTCAGGGCACACGGGAGTACTTGAACCTTATTCTCATCAGAATTGGCTCAAAGAGGGAATAACATATACATTTACTTGGGTACAGAACTCTATCTTACCCTATAGGTAAGTAGAAAGAGGAGGGAAGAAGGCGAAGGAGTGCTGAAGGGAGGGTAGACGGGGGAGGTAATAGTCAGAAGCAAAAAACCTTTGAAGATGGACAGAGTGAAAGGAAAGAGAGAGACTTGAATAAACAGGGTGAAAAACAGGATGAAGGGAAATACACAGTAGTCAGAACTGTGAAAAAAAATTTATAGGAAGTATCTCTGATGAAGGCCTCATTTCTTAAATATGTAGAGAACTGAGTTAGATTTATAAAAATAAGAAACATCCCCAATTGATAATGGTAAAAAGATAAAAGGTCAAAAGTTTTCAGAAAAAATAAAACTATCTATACTCATATGAAAAAAATGCTCTAAATCACTACTGATTATAGAAACGCAAATTAAAACAACTTGGAGGTACCACTCCACAACTATCAGATTGGCTAATGTGACAGAAAAGGAAGATAACAAATGTTGGAGGGGATATGGGGAAATCAAGACACTAAGGCACCATTGGTAGAGTTGTGAACTGATACAAACATTCCAGAGAATAATTTGGAACTATGCCCTAATGGCTATAAAACTGTGTGTGCCCTCTGACCCAGCAATAACAATATCAGGTCCATATCCCAAAAAAATTTTAAAAAGGGAAAAGACCTATATGTACAAAAATATTTATATCAGCTGTTTTAGTAGTGGCAAAACAAAACTGGAAACTGAGAGGATGGCATCAATTGGGGAATGGCTAACCAAGCTGTAGTATATGATTGTGATGGAATACTATTGTGTCATAAGAAATTACAAGCAGGATGCTCTCAGAAAAACCTAGAAAGATTTGGATGAACTGATACAAAGCGAAGTGAGCAGAACCAAGAGAATATCATACAAGGTAACAGCAATACTGTATCAAAATCTGCAGGAATGATGTAGCTATTCTCAGTAATACTACGATCCTAGACAATTCTGAAAGATTTATTATGGAAAATGCTACCCATCTACAGATAAAGAACTGACAGAGTTTAAAGGCAGATTGAGGTATACTTTTTTTAACTTCTATTTTGTTCTGTGTTTAATATGGAAATAAATTTTGCATGAATGCAGAAAAATAATTTAAAAAATAAAAACGAATGTTAAAATTTTTGTTAATATGAAAGTAAGAAAAAAATTAAAAAATTAAATTTAACTAATTTAAAAAATATTTATCTTTACATTTATTTATAGTCTATCTCACCTATTCCCACTCCCTATCCCCAACTGAATAATACTGCTATTACTGTATACAAGTTCCCTTGGCTTTGTTCATTTCACTCTTCATTATTTCATGCAAGTCTTTCCACATTTTTTTCTAAAAATCAGCCTGCTCATCATTTCTTACAGCACCGTAGTATTACATTACAATCATATACCACAACTTGTTTAGCTGTTCTCCAAGTGATGGGCATCCCCTCAATTTTCACTTTTTTGCTACTATAAATAAAGCTGCTATAAATAGTTTAGAACATATAGGTTCTTTTACTTTATCTTTGATCACCTAGGGAAACAGACCTAACACCAGTATTAATGGGTCAAAGGGTATACAGAGTTTTATAACTCTTTGGACATAATTTCAGATTGCTCTCCAAACTGGTTGCATCAGTTCATAGTTCCACCAACAGTGTAGTAGTTTCCGAATTTTCCATATCCCCTTCAACATTTCTCATTTTCCCTTTCTATAGTTTTAGCTTTCCCAAAGTTGCTTTAATTCGAATTTCTCTAATCAATAACGATTTAGAACAGTTTTTCATAATAAAGTTTTTTTTAATCTAAGACACTAATTCTCAACCTTTTTGGCTATAAGGAAACCTTAACATTACAACTGTAATGATACTATTAATTTATAATGATTGAGAACATACATAATGACAAAATGTTACAAAGAATCCCTTAATAGTTTTAAATGAGTTTATATTTATTAATCATAAGCTACACACATGCAAAAACAATGACACATATATCATGAGATATAATTTAATATACAGAAGTTATATTTTGTTAATACTACAAGGAAATATACTGTGAAGTTAAATTAAAATTAAAATGACATTGGTGAATAAGTGGATTTGGGAACATCTTTCAATAAATCACCTGCTTTACAGGCTGGGAAACACTGCTCTAACTTGACAAACATCATTTTTTTTTTAAATCACAGATTCAAGGTGGCCAAAAATTGATAATTATACCAAGAATATTAAAGAGGATAGGCCTCCAGGCAACAGCACTTTTAGGGAGACAAAACACAGAGTGAAACACCTGCATTCTATTCTTGATCTGACAATGGTTAAGCACGCACAGGTACAACAAACAACTGCTCTGATACTACAAGACAGTCATGTTTCATGACATGGGAAAATCAAGGATGGTGGAAAACACACTGGATGAGGAGTCAGGAGGCCTGGATTCTAGTTTCAGTTCTGGGTATTTAGGAATACAATGAGGAAAGCTACCAAGTTCAGTTGCAAATATAATTTTGTAAAATTCTTAGTAATTATCATGTATGAACTCTAGAAACAAAGCATTTTTAATGCTTTTTTATATTTAATTAAATTTTATTAATTTATATTTAATGCTTTTTATATTTATATTTGCATTATATTTTTATATAATACAAATGCAAAGAATATAATTAAAATCTAGATCAATTTTATTCCCTCTGCTACAGCTATATAGACTATGTCCCAGAGTACTAGGTGTAATAAGATTATGGCAATAAATGAATTTTACTAAATAGTTTTTTGAAAATTTTACATAAAATGCTGCAGTTGTACTACAGTACCGAGACAGCCAATTGCAGAAAAACAAGACCCCTGATTTAAAACTGGTGATTTAGCTCTGCAAATTTTTATAAAAATAAGTGACTAAATAGAGAACAAGAACATTCATAGAATCTCAAAGTTGAAAATAACTTCAGGGTTCACATAATCCAAGTCATAAGTGAACAGTAATTCCTTTTCTAGCATGGCATAAGACATAGAGTGGACTTGCAGGCAGAAGACCTAGGTTCAGGTCTTAGTTCAATGGTCAATCACTTACTGTGTGACCTAGGATAAGTTACTTTATGTGCCCCCAGGACCTCAGTTTCCTTCATCTACTGAATGAAAGAGTCAGACTAGATGGCCTCTAAGGTCCCTTCCAGTTCTAAATCTATCACTCAATGATTCAGGCCTGAGCAAGAGAATTCCAGTCTCCACTTAAACTACTTTAAGGCAGAGACAGACTCACCAAGTCTTTTCATACAAACTTTGTCATTTCTGATCAGGTTGTAATCTGGGCTTCTCTATCACTTACCAAAAACCTCCTCATCTCAGAAGATGCTTTAGCCCTGAAATTCACACTCTGAAGGTGTGATGGCTCCTCCCAGAACCTCAATGAAATACATTTATTAAGTGCCAGGCACTGCACTAAGGGCTGTGGGGTACCCAAAAAAAAAAGTCTGTAAATGAAGAGCTTACAATCTAATTTTTGTTGCTGCTGTTGAGTTGTTTCAGTCATGCTTTATTCTTTGCGACCTCATTTGGGGTTTTCTTAGCAAAGAGACTGGAATGGTTTGCCATTTCCCTCTCCAGCTCATTGTACAGAAGAGGAAACTGAGGCAAACAGGATTAAGTGACTTGGCAAGGGTCACACAGCTATTAAGAGTCTGAGGCTGGATGTGAACTCAGGAAGATGAGTCTTTAGGGCAGCTAGGTGGCACACCGGACAGAGTGCTGGGCCTGAAGTCAGCAAGACGTCTCTTCTCAGAAAGAGCTGGACACTGACTGAACGACTGAATAATAACAACAAGATGAGTCTTCCTGATTTTGGCCTGGCACTGTATCCGCTATGTCACCTAGCCACCCTTTACATTTCAATAGAAGAAGACAATGCACAAAATGATGCGGGGGGGGGGGGACCAGAGGGAGCATCCAGTACAGAAGGCTTGATGTTCCATGGAGTCAAAGGAAGAAGAGCAGCTGATGAAAAATGGAGATGCCTGAAAAGTTGTGAAAGTTCAGAATTTTCTATAAAGCAGGGCTTGGAGAAAAGTTTAATACTCTACCCCCCAGCCCTCTAATCAGAGGGGAAAGGCAAGGAAGGGAGTTGAGAAAGTGACGGGCACCAAAACTTAATCATCATGGTGATGAAATTTCAGGTAATCATCTGAGTCAGTCAAAATGGTCCCTGGAACCTTGCTAATGGAACACGAAAACGCTCCACTAATGAAGGGTTCCCAGACTAGCCATCTCTTCCTTTCTCACCAGGCAGGTGAGTCTCACACACCCCTTTTTCAGCTTCTTTTTACTTGTTGTCTTCTCCCATTAGAATGTAAGCTCTTCGAGGGCACACCTCGTCTTTCTTTTTGCTTCTATTTGCATTCTCAGTAGGCCCAGAACATAGTAAGCACTTAATAAATTCTTGGTGACTGACTGACCGACTAGCCACATGACAAATGTCATGTCCACAGAAAAGATTATATCAGTAAAAAACTACTTTTAAATCACACTCTTATCCCTAGTGCATGGAGAGCACAGCTAGAAATTTATAGCTACCTTGTGAATAAAGAGAACTGAATGAGAAGTATTATAAAGTGAAAATCAACAGAATTTGACAACTGACTGAATATATGGACTAAAGATTAGTGAGGAGTCAAAAGGGATTCTGAGTTTGCTAACCTAAGTTATTGTGAAGGATGATGGCAACAATAAAAGGAAAGTTAATAAAAGAGGTAGGCTAAGGAGCAGTAGATGAGTCCTGTTTTGGACATGCTGAATTTAAGGTGTCTATGGGACATTCTAATCTAAATGTCCAACTGGAAGAAGTTGGCAATACTGTATTAGAGAGATCTCAGGAGGGAGATTAGGGCTTGATACAAACATTTGGGAGCTATCCAGATAAAGATAATTACTAAACCCATGACAACTGATAGAGGAAAGAAGAGAAAAGGGGAGAGAAGAGGAGAGGATAAAGCAGGGAAGGAAAAAAGAGAGGAGGGGAAAGGAGAGAGTCACAAAGGGATAGGAGGAAGTTAGAAGATGGGATATGGATACTGATAGTAACACAAAGCAGATAGAGAAGTAGTCAAAAATCCAAGGAAAAGTAATGCCATAAAAACTCCCAGAGGAAAGAATCCAAGAAAAGAGGGGTGGGGTTGGTCACCAATGTCCAGTCCTGCAGAGTACACAAGAAGGATGAGATCTCAGAAAAGGCCTCAGGATATGGCAATGAGGGATGATAGGGACAGCAAACTCAGTCGAGTAATGAGGATGCAAACCAGACTGAAATGGCTGAAAAGTATGTGAGAGTAGAGGTAGTGGGGAGAATGAATGAGTTTTTTAATAGCCATAATAGAGAGACATAACCAGACTGAAATGGCTGAAAAGTATGTGAGAGTAGAGGTAGTGGGGAGAATGAATGAGTTTTTTAATAGCCATAATAGAGAGACATATACACATACTTGTTCCTAAGTATTTCAAATATGTAAAAGGCAGGCTGTCACCCCTAATGAGGTGTCACTTTAATCCATCAATTTCTACAACTTCTTTGTAACCACTAGCACCTCCACCACATAATCCATTCAGTTAAATAAATTCATATTCTGATTTTAACTATCTTGGAAAAGGAAAGAACAGAAGTGAGAATGTTTATTTCTGTAATGCATTTTACCTAATGCACGAATACTTGCCATAGTACACTATCCCCGGGAAGGCAATTAAGAAAAAAAGAACAAAATTACTCCACCTGCTTTTCCCAGATATCCACACTACTAATTATCTACCTTGTTGATGTCAGACAATTTACCTCAATTGATGGCAAGTAGCTTAGCTTAGAAAGGAGGGAAAATATTAGTAAAATAAATTTCTTGACAGCTGCTTCTAATGAGAAGCAAAAAAAAAAAAGCAGATAATAATTTAAAGGAAACTCTCAAAAATTATTCTTTTACATTTTTAAATCTATCCATACACTGTTCTCAGAATACAGGATGCTAAGGTGGTATGTTGCTCTTAAGTGTGCAGTGGATATAAATATGAGCAATAAGAAAACTGAAAATAATAGGCAGGTTATCAATTAGCAGAAATGTTCTGAGCTCACTTAAATTAGTCTAGATTTATTATATAATTATATTTAAAGAAAAAATAAATTCTTTTCTGAGAGGTGAATGAAATGCAACAAAGAAAAAGAAAGCATAAGATAAAGGCCTTAATAAATTACATGGATGTTTAATGACAATAACAAAATATTCATAAAGTTATAGTAGAAATTTTGACTAGGAAAGAACCTTGTAAAACCCTTAGTTCAAGGCCTTCATTTTTAATATGTTAAAACTAGGGACCAGTAATAAATGATTTGCCAACAGTCACACAAATAAATGTTTGTCAGACGGGTTGGCATTTAAGAACCTTGGTCTTTGGAATCTTAACCCTGAATTTTTCAATGTCCTTCTTCAATTAAAGTTACTCAAGTTTAAATTAAAGATACTAAACACAATAACACAGATGAGGTCTGAAGAACGCAAAGTTCCATGAGATCTCTCCTCTACTTCTGGAAGCTATGCTCCCTCTTAAAGAAGACCGCCTTGGGTTTTTGGCTGCTATGCCGGATTGAGCTTGCAATTTATTAAAAACGTCCAGATTTTTTTTCAGAACTGCTGTCTAACCATATCTCTTCTTATCATGTACTTATGAAGTTGATTTTTTGATCCTCAACCATCATTGCTGATTTACCACATCATTATTTAATTTTGTCTTAACATATTCAGTCTAATGCTACAGCTGTTCAAGTTTTCTGGATCCTAAGTTTTCCAGTGTGTTTGCTATTCTTCCAGCTTGGTATCATCTACAAAGTGGATAAGCACACCATTTGCTCTTTAACCAAGTCACAGATAAAAATGGTAGACAGCATATGGATAAGCACAGAATCCAAGTCAATCCACCGGATACCATGTAGACACTGAACCATCATAACCACTTTTTGAGTATGGCCTTCTGAACAATCCAGCTGAATCTGTAATCATCTATTCCCTATCTGTACATCTTTTCCACAAGAATAATAAGTTTTATCAAAAGCCTTGCCAAAATCCATGGAAACTATATCCACAATATTCCCCTTATCAATTACTAAAGTAGTAATACTGTCCAAAGAGGCTAATTTAGTATGGCATGACTGGTTCTTGATGAGGCAGTGCTGGCTCTTTATAATCATCACTTTCCTATATAAATATACGCCAGACATCTCTATAATGATTTGTCTTAAAATAATAACAACAATGACAGCTAGTATTTACATAATGCCTTAAGGTTTACACAGTGCTTTGCAAATAATCTCTCAAGTGATCCTCACAACAGCCTTAGGAAATAGATGTTGTTATCTCCATTTTACAAATGAGAAACTGAGGCAGGTAGTAGACTCTGAGAGTCACACAACTAGTAAGTATCTAAAGCAGTATTTGAACTCAAATCTTTCTGATTCCAGGACAGCTAAGTAGCACAGTGGATAGAGTGCCTAGCCTGGAGTCAGGAAGACCTGAGTTCAAATCCCGCCTCTGGCACTTACTAGCTAAGCTGTATGACACTGTTTGCCTCAGTTTCCTCATCTGTACAATAAGCCGGAGAAGAAAATGGCAAACCACTCCAATATCTTTGCAAAGAAAATCCCAAATGAGGTAATAAAGAGTCAGACACTGAAACAACTGAACAACAACTTTCTGGCTTCAGATCCAATATTCTATCCACTGTACATCTTTAATTGCCTAAAACACCCCCAAGAACTAAAGGCAAGCCTAAAGTCTGCAGAGTCAATTCTCTTTTCTTTTTGAAAACATGAGCCCTCTCCCATTTTCCATTCTTTTTCAGGTATTATTTCTAGTAGTTATATCTTCCAAGTCTTTAAATATTAGGAGATATTTTATCTGGTAAGGTGATTTGAATATATCAAGTGTAGCTCTGTAATCTCTTATTATCTCCTTCCTTATCTTTGATATCAGTCATTTTTGGCATAAAGGTCATTCTCACTTTCAGAGAAACAGAATCAAAACTGGAATCAAGCAGATCTGCTTCCTCTTTGTTGTCAATTATCCTTATTCCATCCATCCCAAGCAAATGACCTGTCCTTCTTCTGAACTTTTTGTCCCAATGTGGCTTTAAAAAAAACCCTTCTTGAGACTATCATTCTGATCACTTTTGAAAGGACCATTCCATTTTCTTATATTCATTCTCTGTGAACTGGCTTTGCCTCCATCTTCTGTAATTTCTTTTTAAAATCTCCGTTAATTGGGGAGTTCCGTGTGCATTCACTCTAATCTCATATTTATCATTCACGCCTCTGAATAAGACTTGTGATCTTTTCCCAAAAACTTCGACTGCCTTTCAGTACAAGTGGTCTAGAATACTACAATCACAGCATCACTTCTGTTTCTTCCTCTATCAACCTATAACCAAATACTCTCCATTATGCTCACCATCTTGGTTTCTGTATTTCTTTGCATGAATATACCTGCTACTATACAAAGCTACCCATCAAGGGCCATTGATCCAGTAGTTGGACCCATCTCAGTGATGCCTATCAGGTCAAATTTTCCTCCTAAGCCCACATACCTTCCCCCTCCAAATGGGGAAATACCAGCTCTTTCTACATAGTGTGACAGTGGAGATAATCAGTGCTTCCACACAGCTCACTAAAAGTAATACTTACCTGGGGTTAAAACAAATCTGGGCTGTCTAATAAGTATTAATTACTCTTTATTATTCCATATCACTAAGTATGAGAATATATTTCTAAAATAATAAAATATTAGACTTCAAAGTTTTCCTCAGAACTTCCTAAGCATTACATGTGGTAAATTTCTTTTCAAGATAAAAATAACATAGCACTACCTCAAATATAATTACAATAATTCTGTCTAGCACAGCCCTATTAACAAATACATTTTGAGTTGTGAGGCAAAGGCCAAGTAACAAATAAACTTCCCTTAAAAGAGCTCTGAATACTTGTCGTCAAGGGCTAAACTGTTAATTGAAATTAATGCCAAAGAGTAACTCTTAACATGAGATACGTTTTTAAAAGAAACTTAATTATACTAACCATCATATTGGACTAATTAAAGTTATCAAGATGAACACTGACGAACAGGGCAATATGCCAAACTGAAGAGGAATGCTGGTAGATTTATTATTTGCCATTCAAACACACTGTACAATTCATAATGCTTCCAATCACTCTTCAGATTATAAAGTCAGAGTGACAAAAGAAAGGTCAATGCTCCTTTAATG